GATCGGATCGGATCGGATCGGATCTGATCGCCGGCCGTGGCGGCCGGGAAGGAGCGTGTGGGCTGGCAGCTGGCTTCCCCCTGCTCCAGAAATCCCTCACTTTCTTCCACATCAACCTTCCCCATGGAGACGTGCCAAGGGCTACCCCGGCCCTTCTCTTGGCGATGCCAAAGGTCCCTGGGCTGGCTCTGTGTGTCAGCTCAGGCCTCTGGCAGCACGCTGCCCTGGCCCTGCCGGGCTCCGGTGGCAGCAATCGCTGCGCCAGGCACACACGGGAACGCTGCGGGGTTGTGGCCCAGCAGGACAGGCTGAGGGCCACCAGGGCTCCTCGTTCATTCACACTTACTGCATGTGAACAAATACGGGATTGTCCCCTATTCCCCCTCTCTGCTCCGAGCTGCTGCTGGCTGCTGTCACTTGGGTTTCTTCCAAGCTTTTCCATGGTGTCGGTGCAAGCGAGAGTTGCTGCACCGAGTTTGTTTGAACTCTGTTGGGTTTATTGGGACTGGGAGTGGAAAGGGACTCCTTAAGTGCTTTTTGGTGAGATCGTGAGAAAAGGGATCGGTACAAGCCTGGCTTTCCTGCCAGACGCCTAATCCCTGGGAGCGTTGCCAAAACTAATTAAGGAGGAAAAAAAATCTCTGCAAGATAACTTCTATCTGTCAGTGCCAGCTGCAAGAGCATTGCTGCTGGTATTGGCTGTAGCCTCACGACTCCAAACATACCTGCTAGAGGATTTGAAGCTGTAAAACCAGCTTGGTTTCATTAAAGAATTTTAAAAAGTAAAGTCCTCGGTGTGAGAGGATGTCTCTCCCAATGTGCTTCAACTGATGTTTAATATTTTACTTGAAAACTTTTGCTATGTGCCTTAAAAACATTTCAGGGTGTGTAAAATATTGCCCAGTTATGAGATTCATGTCTCCATCAGTGGAGACATCCCCTGCAGCTCCATACAACCCCCAGATACGCTGAGACCAAGGTACCTCCTCTGATCACTTCCTTCAAAGGTGGATTCTCAGTGTGATATTCTTTCATCTGTTAATGAAAAACAAACACTGCAAGTAACATGAAGGTGGCATTGTTTGCCCATGGTGACTGTAATGTCAGGGCTTAAGGACTTGCTTCTAAAGCCATGGGTGAGTTGAGGTATCCCAACACCACACAACAGCACTGTCTTAGTCCCTGCCACATGCTCCTGCCCTCCAACCCCCTGTTTAAATGCTTATTCTGTGGGTTTGCTCAGAAGAGGATGTGGTGGGATGGACATCTGGCTCAGCTGGCACCCCCAGCTTACCATGGGCAGTTTCTGCTGAAGTCATCCTGGGGGTGGGTTCTGGGGGTCCCCTGTCCCCTCTAACTCCTGCAGCTCCAGCAGTGCCAAGCCTGGGTGAAGCCCTGCTGCTGGCCCTCCCCGTGGCCAGAGCTGGTGAGAGGTGACTTGGTGTTGGTGAGCCCCAGGATGCTGGTCCTGAGCCCAGCTCTGCCCATCCCTCGCTCTCACCACCACAGCCCTCGGCTCCTGCTGCACGGCTTCTGCCCTGGGAAGGACCAGACTGACACATGACAGGGATCTCCTCAGCTCTTCTCTGCTGACATTAATTTCAGATGAGCCTCTTGGGCTTTGATGGACACTCTCCAAGCCCTGCTGCTTGCCAAAAGCTGAAGAGGTTCACTTGCCTATTCAGGTCAGATGGCAGCGTTAGTTTATGGGTGTGCAGGGGGTGTCTCCTGGCACCTCTAAGTTTTGAGGAAAGCTGCCAGCTGTTGATGAAATGAAGTTCTTTGATTCTCTGCAACAAGAAGAGCGTCTGCTGCCAGCACTGACCTGAGCTGGTCTGCTGTCAAAAACCCTTTGATGGAGCTGCAGCTCCTCAGGAGTCTTCCTTTCCTGGGCATCTCTTGCCTGCCTCGTCCTAGCCTCAGATTTCACATCCCAAACCTGCAGATCTGTGGAAGTGAGGCAGCATTACTCCTTGGGACAAAGATTCCAGGAGCAAACTTGCTCTTCACCAGCTGAGTCCAGGGGAGCCATGCAGCTGGTAGCAGGTTTTTTTTTCCAGTAGCATCCTGAAATGAAGAGAAACCCTTGTGAAACTGGCTAGGATTTTCTCAGTTAATTATTTCTAGTTGGAAATAGGCCAGCTGGGGAAGTGAAACTTTTTTGGCAGAGCAGTGCCAGCTTCTGTAAGATTTTGATAGGTGATTTTCCTGGTAGTTCTACAGTGGGGCTCAACTAGTAAATAAATAAAAAGGCTCCAATTTGGCACTGACACAAATGCAGGGAGCACAAAACTTTATTTCTGACCCCAAATATTTGTTTTCCAGCTTTTCTGAGTTAGTAACAGCTGCTTGATCTGAATCTTATCCTCAGCCAAGTCTGGTGCTGCTTTAAAGCATGGTCCTACCCTTAAAACTGCTGAATTGCTGTCAATTTTGTAAGCAAAAAAAGGGAGAAAGGATTCTTGCCATCATTTTTCACCAGGAATTTGGGGACAAATGGGTGGACTGACTTGGGGTCAGCAGGAACCCCCATGCTGCAGGCACTGGCTGCGCTGATCCTGCCCTGTGTGGAGGAGCTGATGTTTTGCTGGTGTGGTTAAAAGTGAGGATCAGGACTAAAAAGCCCCCAGATGCTTTCCCTGTCACCTTCTAGACCAAAATACCACACACAGCTGCTGGCTTGGGTTGTGAGGCTTTCCTGGAGAGCCATGAGTAGGCCCCTATATTTACAACCCTACATCAGATTTATTATGGTCTTTCTGCTACAAATATTTCAAATAAAGCAGCTCCCCTAATTGTGCCTGCCTGAAAAACTGGGACCAGTAGTTCTCCTCCAAAGAGACAGCCAAAGCCTCTGATCCTGACCTAACAGAAAAGATGCTAATTAAAAGCTGACCTCCCATATTTTCCTTTTTGGTATATTTAACCTTAAATTCCTTCAGGCACCTCTGGTTCACTGAAGCTCGTCAAATTAATGCTACCTAATGGGAACCAGTATGGAATAACAAAGAAGGACTGTCTCAGTTTCTGACTTGGTTTCAGCTGCTCTGAACAAACATGAGGCTGATCTTCCCTGGCAATTGGGGTGCCCATGGGCCAGCTGGGAGCCAGGACAGTGGGACTCCTGCTGCAATTAGCACTCAGCAGTGAAGGCTCCGTTTGCTGGGGATGCTGCTGGGTTAAGCCCTGTGAATTTTGCCACCACGCTGCTGGAGGTGAGGATTTTGTCAAGGCACTATAATAAAATCCCCATTGCTGGGACAGCTGGTGGTGCCTTGTCTGGCACAGAGCTCTGGGCTGTCCTCAGCAGGAGGGAACAGCAACCTCGAGTCTCTGCAAGCCAGGACCAGATCCCAAGCCTGTCCTTACTGAGGGTACATGCCTCACCTGAGACCTGGTGGTAGAGCTGAAGCCTCATACTGGAACTTTGACCCTTGCTCTGCTTTGGTTTTGGTGGGGACAGGGAACCCTGGCCAGCATCATGAAGGGAGGAATCACATCAGCTTTTGGAGTTCCTGGTCCTGCTCTATTGCTCAGTGAAGTAATTTGCATCTCCTAGGGCTGTTCTAAGGTTTTTCCCAGTGCAATTTTGGCCGGGTGTAAATCAGAGATCTGGACTCTGCATCACCACTGAGCTGTCTTTATCTTACCCACTCTCCCCAGAAGCTGTTTTGCTCTTCCAGCCCAGCAGGCCTTATCCTTTTTCCTCCATAGCCCATAATTGGTGCTGATGAGGATGGGAGAGCCCCTTGAGCCCCTCGGGGGTTTGTTTGGTGCAGAGCTGCCCCAGTCTCAGCTCCTCTGGAGGGATGCCTGGGGGTCCCAAGGCAGGTTGATGGGGTGACAGCCCCACAGGGCTTGGCAGTTGACTTGGCCTTGCTCAGGAGGAAAAAAAGACTCTTTGCATTTGTGGTTTGTCACCTGGGAGGGGGCTGTGACAGCAGGGACCCTGTGGGCTGGCTGGTGGCTGTAGAACACTCAGAGATCCCCATGTGGAAAGAGCTGATGAGAGGTGAAATTATCACCCAGAGCTGCCAGCATTGGCACAGGGAAGGATTTGGCTCTATGAATGCTCACACAGCTGCTTTGGATTCACCTTGCCTCTCTTTTTCTCCACGCTGTTGCTTCCCTAGCCACAGCCACATGCCTTGCTGCTGCTGGCAGGGTTTTGCTCTCCCCACCCTCAGGGAAAGCCATTCCCCTGGCCCCTCAGTACTGGAGGCACCACCCTGACCTCTCTGGGCTTGAGCCTGTTACCTGCATGGATAGTCTGATGGCATCTGACATCTGCCCTCAGCCCCTGCACACCCACCCTGCCCACTGCCCCACTCGCTTCAACAGCAGCACTGACCCCAGACCACGGCTCCCTGGGGAGTGGCTCAGGGGGAGCTGGCAATTCCCCCACGTTCACAAACCAGCAGCTAAGAGAGTTGAGTCTGTGTGCCCCAAGACCTGAGTGCTGCATCCTCCCCACAGGTGGGGGAGCAGAACACAGAGGAGGTTGGAGCAGTGTGTTAATGCCACTGCTGTGTTTAGACAGCGGCAACTACAAAGGCTCCAAAGGGACATCCTGTTCTCACAGTGGCCTCTTTTGGGGCAACTTCCCCACCGTGCTGGAAAGCAGGGGAGGAGGAGCAGCTGTGTGGCCCGGTGTTATCTGTTGGTGGGAGGCAGGCAGGCTGGCACCGCTCCCGACAGCTATTCCTGGGGCTGGGGCCCGATGCGAACGTGCACGGCTGCATCCCAGGGACAGGGGATGGGGGTTCCCTTGGGGGGAGGAGGTGCAGGCTGTCCTTGCAGGAGGGCAGAACACTGCCATAACCCCTCAGCCCTGGCTGTCAGCTCCTGTCCCAGCACAGTGGTTCCAGTGGTGCTGACAGAGCCGAGAGGAACCCTTATCTCCGTTTTCCCAGTAGCGAATGTCAGTGCCTTTATTTTAAGCATCCTCTATCCAAACTGATGTCAAGCAAGCTTGGAATGTCCCTCCTGATTTAGACATATGATGAAACTGAGAACCTGCAACTTGTTTAAAATGTATTTTGACTTTTGCAAACTTTTGCACGGCTGCTGCAGCAGTTGTGTTTCCCCTGGTGTGTTTGGTGGTCATTTGCCTGGGTGAGGTGGGAGAGCAGGGCTGGGCACTGCTGCCTCCACCACCTGCTCAGCTTCCTGGCCAAGCTGCCTTACCACCAGCTGCTGGATGTCCTCTGCTCTGCCCCCAGCCATGCCTGAGCCTGTCCACGCCTACTCCTGCCCGCTCTTCTGGACGGAATACGAAGGCCACTGCTACCGGTACTTCCCCATCAATAAAACCTGGGCTGAAGCCGACCTCTACTGTGCCGAGTTCTCCATCGGCATCAGATCAGCCAAGCTGGCCTCCATCCACAGGTGAGGTGTGCAGAAAGGTGTCATCCCACCTGACACAGCCTGGGGAGGAAGGGAACTGGGGGCAATCCCATTCCCACATCACAGCTCATGTTCCAGCCTACACATCCCTCTGCAGCAGTGGCCCAGTCAGGGCTGATGCACAGGTCACACAAAGGCAATAAGAGAAAATAAATCCCTTTTCTTGGATGGGCAGGGAAACTGGCATAGTATTTCCTAAATTGCCCCAAGCTGCAGTTTTTCACTCTAGAAAAAGGGATAGAAGTACACGATTACACAGGCTTTTTTCCCTGTTCCCTCTCCCCCAGCTCTCAGCAGCGCTCCTCTTGCACAGAGCCAGGAAAGGAACCAGCAGCAGTAAGAAGCAGGGGACCCAGTTGCCCACGGGCCCTGTGGTAGGGTGAGTGCTTAGGGGCACTCCTGAGCATTTGTTGACATCTCCTCTTGATTGCCCCGTGCTGCTCTGTTTTTCCAGCTGGGAAGAAAACGTCTTTGTGTACGACCTGGTGAACAGCCGCGTGCCCGGCATCCCCACCGACATCTGGACAGGACTCAACGACCTACGACAGGTGGGAGCTCCCTGTATCTTGTGGGAAATGGCTTTGAAAAACTCACCCCTGTGCTTCCCCCCTGGAAAGCCACTTGGTTTTCTTCTTTGCCCCTTACACCCCCTTTAATCAGGAGGTGGCATAGAGTCTGTGGTGTAGAGCAGCTTGTTACTTCACCCATTCCAGTCTGCTTTTAAAAGAGAAGTGTTACTAGAATTAATAGATTAATCAATAATTACTCGTATCACATTTGGTTACTGGATTAATAGAAAGAGTATTGTACTGCTGGTCCAGGAAGAGCAAATAAACTGAAAGGTCTTCAGTGTCAAACATCACCAAGTTCCATTGCTCTCTTGTGATCCTCTGTGACTTTTGAAAGCTGACATATTGGAAATATATAGTCTTATATGTTAGAAAGAAAAATTGAGACCCTGAGAGAGTCTCATGTCTGCAAATTTTTTTGCAGATACTGGAAAAGGAATGGAAAATGAAAAGGAAAATGAATGCAGAGCTGGGTGGGAGTGTTAAAAATATATAGATTTAATTTCTGGGCTTTCCCTGGTGAGAACACTGTGAAACCTGGGGCTGTTCTTGGCAGGTTTCCAGTTGTAAAGCTGTGTGGCACTGGGGATGGGGTGGGGACACCATGGAGTGGGCCTCCCACCCTCTGCAGTCACAGCCCTGTGGTGACAGCCTCTCTCCACTGGCCTCGTGTCAGGAGGGTCACTTTGAGTGGACAGATGGCTCCTCCTTTGACTACCACTACTGGGATGGCAGCCAGCCTGACGATGGGATCCACTCCATCCCGGAGGAGGAGGACTGCGTGCAGATCTGGTACAGACACAGCAGTGGTGAGCGCCCAGGGCACCTTCAGTGTTATTTGCATGTCAATAAATTCAATCCACCGTGGCTCCTGCTTTTCTGAAGAGTTTGCTGGCAGGCAGGATTTGCATTTTAATTTTTTAGTATTATTATTTTTTTTTTATTTTTTTTTCCTTTACAGTGACAAGGTGTTTTCCCTTTCACCATGTACATACATACATACATGCTCATCTTCCCTCTGCTCCCATGTCCCTCTCCCACAGTAGCAGCAGGACAGGACCATCACTGCCTTGAAGAATTACCAGATTTAGTCAAAGGTCAAATTTTTCCATTTCCCCTTGCACATGGGAAACCTGTGGAAACACTCCCTGGTCTGCCAGCTTTTCTTTCCCATGCTTGGGCCAGGACATCTTGCTGAAATGGGACAAGACCCTGCCTATGCAAAAATCCCACTTCACACCCTCACTGCCAGTGAGACCAGCCAGGTGTGTCCAGGCCCCCCTGATGTGCCTAAATGTCCTGTCCATGGGCAGCCCTTGGATAATTTTGGGGCAGCAGGATTGTGTTTGCCGCTGCCCCTCCACTACCAAGTCCAAGCTGGGGCCTGGCCTCCCCTCTCACCTCCCCCAGATGAGGATGCTGGGGGGAAGCATGACTGAATGGCACAAAGGGAGCACATCCAGGGAAAGCCTCCCACAGTGGCAGGAGGTTCTGGTCCCAGGGGCAGTGCATGGTTCCCTCTTTTTGCCTTTTTTCAGCTAATGCCTTGGTGGTTTTTTTTGGAGGGTAGCACTGCGCTCCTGGAACGACAACGCCTGTGGCAGATCCTTCCCCTTTGTCTGCAAGATCCCCTCCCTGGCCCTGGACTGAGGCTGCTGGTGCTGCCCACGCCCCCCTTCATTCTGGGTCACCTCTCCAGCTGTGCCAGGAAGAGCAGTCAGGACATGGCCTGGGCTGGGAGAGCCGTGGAGCTGCTTGGATCCCCGGCCAGTCCCTGCTGCAGAATCCCTCCTGGGAGTATGGTGGGGATGAACCTGGCACTGAGCAGTGACAGGAGCTACATTCAACAGCAAAGGAGCCCCCAAGCCCGAGTCTGGCTCTGGATTTCACATCAGCTATCACAGCGTGTTAGAGGAAGCCAATACACCAAACTGTTAGCACCCAGTAGTAGCTGTGTGTAGGAAATGCTTTTGCCTGTTGATCTGTGAAGAGTGGAGGAAACGTGTTATTTTCTGTTAAGTTATGCAAAATGCCTCTTGTCCATGTTATTTTCCTCTCTGCTAAAATAAATGGCAAACAGCAGCTGGAGGCTCCTCTGTCTTTCTTGCCCTGGAGTGGCAGCAGTTCCCTGGGGACTTGGGGTTTCTTGTGAAAGGAGTTTTCCCCCCAACCTGCTCTGTATTACAGAGGTGTGCTGGGGGGAGCAGCTGCCTGGGAAAGTTTATTTTATTTTCTCTGTTTTCTGGGGTGTGTGGGGCAGCCTGTGTGCTCACCCTGCCCTTCACCTGGCCCCCACAAACAGAGCCACCATGGAGGGTGACAGTCAGTGCCCACAGCTCAGCATCCCCGAGCAGGCAGGTTTGGCCAGAGGATTGAATGAGCTGGAGGGCAGGTGAGGGCTGACACAGCCTGGCTGGGACTCAACCCATCCTCACAGCCTGCCTGGGGAGAGCTTGCAGTGCTTGCTGCAGCCCTGCTTCCCAGTGAGATGATGTTTTCTCCCTTGCTGATGTCCTGTGCTGCACTGGCACCACAGCAGTACTTCTGTCTCCCAGGTAAATCATTTTTGTGTGGCTTGGTAGCCGCCGTGTGCCTTTTGGAACTGCTCAGGAACTCCTCCTTGGACAAGGGTGGGTGTAAGTGGGGCTGTGCTGGTGCCAGGGATGGCCCCAGGGAAAGGCAGGGCTATTGAGGGAAAAAAAGGCTTCTCCTTTGGGGGACACAGCTCCAAGGGCACTGCAGGACCCAGGCAGAGGCAATAAATCCAGTGCTCCCCAGGGAAGCCCAGGGTGTGAGCTCTGGTCCCTCACACCCCCATAGCACCCGGGTGGCTTTGCAGGTAGCCCTGTCCTGGGAGCCAGGAGTCCCTTTTGTCCCTGCTCTGGCAAAGCCACAGGGGCTGGCCCATCTCAGCTGCAAAGATGAGTACTGCCAGAAGCACTGTCATAAAATTGTCTGGTCCCCCTTGATGCCACAGTTTCAGAAATACAAGATTCCAAAACGAAGGCTTTCCAGAGTGATTGCACTGGATGCAATTGGGGTCAGTAGCTGAGGCTCCACTGGGAGCTTGGAACTGCATCCTCAGATGGTAGTGGAAGGTATGTTTCCACTTGGAGAGGAACTGGAAAATTTGGTGGGGGTAATAATGGTGTTGGAAGTGGAATGTGTGTGCTGGAGCAAGTTTCTAGAACAAGAAAGTGCTGTCATCCCTGACTTTGTATTTTTATATATAAAAATATTTATATGGATATAAAAATGGATAGTACATATAAATAAAACTATTATTTTTATTGGATTTTTAAAATTAATATACACCCTATTCATATATTTATATGGAAAGTTAGCCATTTGTGTAGTTTTCAGTTCTGGATTTCAGCATTGGATGTGTTTTCTAGAGGCTTTTGTTTCACCTGAAAATAATAAATGATGTATTTATTTACATACATATTATGTATGTAAATAAAGCAGCTGTTTAAAAAGAAAGCTTTTGGATGCAGCAAGCTGGATAAAGTTGATGTGGTCTGTGGCAGTTTGGGGAGCCAAGCATGGTGCAGGACATGTCTGCTGAGCTCTGGTTCTGAGGGCAGATGCTGAGCCGTGGTCTCGTGTGGGATGGAGCTCAGCCCCAGCACAGGGCAGGGGACAGCCCAGCCCAGCGTCCCCTCGGGCTGGCCGTGCCCGAGCCTGTCCCAGGGCAGGGCTGGGGGCTGCAGGGACAGCCACCCACCCCCAGAGATGCTGCTGCACCGTGCCAAGCTCGGCTCCAGGCTGCCCCTCCCCATTTCTTTTCCCTGTTCCTCCTGTGTCTCCTGTCCAGAGGAGCTGGGAGTTCATCAGGGCTGGGGATTGGTATGCCTCGAGCCAAACAATTGTCTTTTTTCCCTGCAAGTGGTATGAGATGTTTCAAAAGAAAGGTTAAAACCTTCCCTTGGGAAAGCGTTTGAAGACCTGGGCCCTACTGTGGTTAAAAATATTGCTAATGGGGAGCCCAATGAAAGCTGTCACCTCCAATTTGCGTCTTCATTTCCAGGTAAAAAGAACTGAACATGCATGACCTGAAAGTCAGGACCAAAGTTAATAGGGGCTTTGTTTCCCAAACCCCCTGTCCTTCTCCTTTGGCTCCAGGGTCCTTACTTAAAAATCAACCCTCTGTCCTTGCCAGTGTCTTCTGTTTCACAGTAATCAAATAAAATTCAGAAAACAACAGGAGTTTTCACCTCCTTAATGAACTTCTAGTGGATCTGGCTTGATGAAAGGTGGCCCACGCCCTTTCTCTTGGCTTGGATGGTTCCAGACTCTGCATGGCCTGGAGCAGCTCCAGATTCCAGGCTGAACTTCTTTATTTTAATCTTCTCCTTGTCCCATAACCCCTCACTCCCTTGTTATCTTGAATTTCTCCCTTCTGACTCGCTCTGTGGTGCAGGCAATGGGAAGAAAGCTGGCAGCAGCAGGACTCTGACACCTCTTCTGCACATCACTTGCAAGTGACTGATTCCTGAGGCTCTTTTTATGACACTGATTTTCTCAGGGGTTGAACACCTTCTTTTGTAACTCATGAAAGCTGGGATAAGTGTGAACAGTGTGTGATATAGCCTGGGAGTGGAGCAAAATAGGCTTAGCCCTCCTGTCCCCTGTTTCTGAGCTGTAGAGGCAATATTGCCCCCAGCCCCAGATGGGCCTGCCTGCACCTCTGACCTTTGGATTCCTTTTATTCCTACTTTGGTTATTTCCTGAGATGTGCTGTTGGATGTTGTGATACAGGACTTGGATGTCACAGCTTTTGGGCACGCTGGAGCTGCCCTGGCACAGCCTGGTGAGGATTTTCCTCCCCAGTGATTCTCTTGACTGCTCCAATGCCTGCCTGGGCTGGGCTGTGCTTTCCTCTACTAATTGGGTTAAGATTTTTTCTCCTGTAAATGACTGGGAGAAGAAGGCTGAATCATGAGCTTTTTCTTGTGCATTTCCCTTGGATTTAATTGCTTGAGTAGTGGCTCAGCTCCTGCCCTGAGGCCAGGATGCCACAGAGTGGTTCCCTTTGACAGAGAACAAAAATATCTCGGGACCAAAAAACATGCTTTGAGCAGCTCAGAGAGTACATTACAGACTAGCTCCAGCAGTGAGCCCCATCACCAAAATACCCCAAGCCACAAAGCCCTATGATAAATGCTGTTATCCATCTGTGCAGTGGGGTTAGTGTTAAATCCACAGCTTTAGTGCATCCCAAATGTCTGGGAGAGATGGAGCAGGGGAAGGTGAGCAGGATTTGGCCCCGTTCTGTGTGGGTCCCAGTGGATGTTGGCTTAACTGAGCTGCTCCTGCTGTTCTGTAGCAGGGCTTTCCCATCCCATCTCATACCATCTGCTCCCTGCTGCTGCCAGGGAATGAGCAGGACAGTGGGAACCAGTGGGGACAACCCTGCTGGAAATGTATCTCCTTCTGGGCAGCCTGAGGGCTCAGCTGCAGCAGCCATGCCTCCTGAAAGAGACAGGAATCAGGCTGGGTTTATACACCTGGAAGCTGCTGGTGTGTAATGGCACCTGAACTAATTGCAAAAGCTCAGTGAAACTTCCAGCAGCATCAGTTCCCCTCGGACGGGCTCAGAGCTGCCAGGGGCTCCCCCAGCCTGGGAGACCCTGGGATGGGGATGGCTCAGCACAGGAACCCTTTCATGACAGGGCCCATTGTGCTTTTGATTGTTCCCTTTGGGTACCCCAAAAATCTTCTCTTTTGTGGCCAAGGATTTCCAGGCCTCTTGAGAAAACTGTCTTGGTGGAGAAAGCTGGCTGAGGGCCAGTGCCCATCCCTGATTGGCACAGGCTCTGCAGCACAGGCACCTAAAAACAGTGGTTATGTTTTTCATTAACCACTTTGACTTTCCTGGGGCTCAGTAGCTTGGCTGGAAACTTTCATTCCTGGGTGCAAATTGCCAGAGCTGCCACTGGTCAGAGGTAAAGCAAGATCTGATGGGAGCACAATTCCCACTGCGGTCCCTGCCTGGAAAGCCGGTCAGCCTTGAAGGACACAGAGCCAAGGCACAGGTGACGTGAGAGAGGAAGGATCCAGAGCTGGCACTGTGCATGTGAGTGCCTGGAGCTGGTCAGAGAGGACAGGGCTGTTCTGGGCTGGTGTGAAAGAGCTGGTGCTGCTCGGCAATCCTGGCTGCTGTCCCCAGGTGGGGTCCTGGGCACCGGCGTTCCTGCTGTGCTGGCAAAATGTAGCTGTATTTGGCAATCTACCAAAAAAGTCTAGTCCAGCTCTCAGGGTTACCATGGCAACTAGATATTTGCTCATTTGTATTTCTTGAAAATTATACTGGGCTGCTGATTGCCTCGTTTGTGAAGCTCTTTGTCAGGACGCCAACAAATCCCTGTTTGTCGAGGGCTGTGAGGGAGCGAGTGGTGCTGTTGTTGAGCAGATTTCTGAATGGGAACTCTGCTGGAGTGTGGGTGTGTTATGACAGCATCCCTCCCACAGACACCCAGGAACATACCCCTGGCCTAGGAAGAGGGTGCTTGCTCTGCTCATCCCCTCTGACATCCATTACTACTTGTGCCATTGCTTGGGTTAACATAAAATGTGAGTGACTTGTCATGGGAGACCACACACAGGATGGGACAGGGGAAAGCTTGACAGGAAACTGTCTTTTTGCAAGGAAAGGATTCATAAAATATCTTCCTCTGGCTGTTTTTGTGAATCAGCCACAGGGTAGGAAGGCAAGGGGTTTAACTCTGTCCCCATGTGTTCAAGGGAGGAGCTGAGAGCCACACGAGTGGAGGGGCCCCAGGAGCAGCACCCACCCACTGAGATGTGGCTGTGATCCTGCTCACAGGGAAATAACCACCATCCTCTGCTTCCAGAGTGCACAGAGACTTGGAGGCTTGGAAAAATGCCAGCTCAGATTAAATGCTTACTGGGTTTTGGTATTGCAAAGCTGGCACTAACTGTGGAGCAGTGGGAAAGGATGATGGTGCAGGGCTGGCTAGAACTTTCAGAGGTGGCTGTAGAAGAGCATAGGGCAGGCTTCTCTTTTCATCCTGAAGGAAAAAATTAATTTGATTTGGATGCTGTTTAG